TGCACTTTTCTCCTGAACGTGGTGCTGTGTTGGACGCTGGGCTCTTGTCGGGGAGGTGATGTCAGAAGGCCTGGGGGCTGGGGACAAAAGGCACACCCAGCTGCCAGCTCTGAGGGAAGGAAGGAGGCTGTAGACGCACGAGGCGGGGCGATTTTCCAGGAGCCGTGATTTGCAAGGTTGAGTCCCCACGTGGGTCTGGCGGCTCTGGAGCCATCGTGGGGAGTCACGGCATTGTAGGAGGCATTTCCACCCACCTAAGAAAAGCAGTTGCAAGAAGTCGTCTGCATTCATGTGAGAACTGGTACCTTCATTAAGTCACTCAGGGCACACTCCTGCCCCAGGGCCTTCGCTCCCTCCGCCCGCAGTGCTCTTCTCCAGGTTTCTGCTCGGCTCCTTCCTGTCCTCCCTCTGGGCCTTTCCTCAAACGCCCTCTCCTCACGGAGGCCCTCCCCAGCCACCCCACTTAAATGGAGTCCCCTCCCCACCAGGGGCATCTTCTCTATTCTCTTATTCCGCCCCCTCTGAAGCACGCATCACCCCAAACGGCGCTGTTGGACAGAAGTGCGGCGGGGGCCACTGATGCAATTAGAAAAACTTTTAGTAGCCGAGTTTGAAAAGTAAGAAGGAAACCGGCGGAATTAATTTTAATGGGGCGTTTTATTTAACCCGACACATCCTATTACAACATGTGATCAATACAAAATGTTGAGATGTTTCATGTCCTTTCTTTCACACGAGGTCTTTGAAACCAGGCGTGTGGAGGACACAGCACCTGCCACCTGCGACAGACACCCAGCAGGCCCACCTGGCAGGCCCACCTGGCAGGCGGCTGCTGGGTGGCACAGCACAGCTCTGCCGTGGGATAGAAGTCACCAGGGATTGTGTTTATAATGATTGACCATTCGTGCATGTCTGTTGGAATGGAGGGTCTGCCAGGCCAGGGAGCTTCGCTGTGCTCACCGCTGGGGCCCCTGCACTGAGCTCAGTGCCCGCACATAGTAGGTGCTCAGTCAGCATGGGTGGAATAAAGGAAACAAGCGAATGCGGCCTCTGGTCTGCCCTCGGCCGAGCTGGGGCCTGGGCAGCCGATGTGGTCAGAGGTGGTTGTTTCTTACTCCGTGGGGTTCCTTCCCCCCCCCCCCCGTCCTCTCCACACCCCCTCTGCCCCTTCTACTCGCCTCCCCTCTCCCGTGTCTCCACTTGTTCCTTTTCCTTAGCAAAGAGGGTAGCGATTTACGTCCGGCCCTGGAGCCCGACGACTCCGGTACAAGTCCCTCTCTGCCAATAGCTAGACTCTTGAATCACTTCCATGCAAGACGTCTTGTTGCCTGCAGGGCTGATAATAATTCTTTCTGGGATGGGGTGAGTCATGTAGCTCGTCTGAAGTTAGCATCTGGCAAAGTGTGTGACCAGGATTATCCCATTTAATCCTCGAGACGCCCCCGGGAGGCAGAGGCTGAGTTTGTCCCTTTGATAGGTACGGATGCCCGGGTGCAGGGTGATTAAGCAGCTTACCCAGGGCTGCCCGGCCCTGGGGCCCGGCTACTGATGCAGGTCCTTCACCACTGGGCTCCGGTAGCTGTTGCTCAACCGTAACTATGGCTCAGGTGTGCCAGGCACTGTTCTGGGAGCTGGGAGCACAGCAACAGACACAGATTTCTGGTCTTGTGAAATGTTTTCGCTCTGGAGGGGAAGGGAGTCCATCGAATAACTGCGGACGTGCCTCACGTAGCGTGTGGGGTGGTGATGGGAGCCACGGAGAAAAATAAAGTGGGACAGGGAAACAGTGTTGTGGGTGTGGTCGCCAGTAGGAGGGGGTACGGGAAGGAAGTTCTTGCGGAGAAGACACACTGGAGTGAGGGCTTCAAGGGAGCGGGTGCGTGGGGGCTGGGCCTCGCCAGTGGGTGGAGGGACCAGGAGGGCAGAGGCCCTGAGGCAGGAGCCCCGCGGCAGGTCGGGGGAGCCCCTGGGAGGCAGAGCAGGGGGGCGGGACAGAGGGGACCCGGAGGTCCCGGAGGTGAGGGTGGGCTTTGTGGGCTGCGGTGAGAACTTTGGTTTTTTTATTCAAAGGGAGGAGCCATAGGAAAGCATCGGGTTGGTTTGTGGTTGATTTATTTATTTTTTGTAAATAGTATCCTTATTGACATAGAATTCACATAGCATAGAATTCACTCGTGTAAAGTGTACAATCCAGTGCATCTTTAGTGCACAGACAGGGCTGTGCTCCACCCCCACCATCGATTTTAGAACACTTTTATCACCCCTCCCAAAGAGGCCTCGCACCCCCCAGTGGCCGCTCCTGATCCCGCCCCCACCCCCTGCCCCAGCCCTGGCAACCACTGGTGCCCTTCCCGTCTCCGTGGCCGTGACACACAAATGGCCCGTGGTGTCCAGCGTCCCCGCAGCATGTTCTCACAGCCGGCCCATGTTGCATGTCGCAGGGCGGGCCGGCGCCCGTCCCTCTCACGGCCGAGCAGCTAGCATTCCCCCGTGGGAGGCTCCCTGTTCCACTCGTCTGTCCACCCGTGGGTGGACGTTTGGGCTGTTGCCACCTCCAGGCCACGGTGGAAAGTGCTGCCGTGAACACACGTGGGCCCCCTTTTGCGTGGACAAAGTTCCCGTTTCTCTTGCACAGACCCAGGAGTGGATGGTCCTCTGGGAACTCCGGGCCTTGCCTTTTGAGGGGGTGTTTAGCAGGCGGACCCCACCAGCAGCGTGGGAGGGTCCCAGCTCCCCCACGCCGTCGCCAGCACTCACTCTAAGCACAAGGGCTCTGAGCTGAGGAAGAGGGCCGCCCTCTGACATCAGCGCCCAGAGCCCCTTACTATCCTGGGTCCCTCTTTCTCTTCTGCATCCGCTCCCACCCCCACTCCCACCCCCACCCCCGGCCCCCCAAGGCCACTCTCTGAGAATCAGGACGAGGTCTTCCCCTTCTGAGGTTGCCCCGCCCCCCCATGGGAGTGCCCCTCCCTCGGAGGTCACGGATGGTCACGTGTGTCCTGCATCCTTTCCTCTCTGCCTCTCTCTTGTCGGGTGACAGTGTGGCGTGATATGACGGCGCTCCGGCCGTGGCCTTGCGGCCGCCTTGGATAAGCACCACGCACGCACATGAGGACCTTGAGGACTCAGCAATAAATAAAAGTTGGATGAGTGAGACGGTCAAGGCGAGCGGGCCCTTGCTGACGGGGACCGGGTTTCCAGGAAGTGGGGGGGTGTCAGGGCAGGGCAGCGCCCAGATTTACTTAACTCCCCAAAACTACAAAAGTAAACAAAGTAAATAAATAAATAAACAGTCCCTGTAACTGATGACTCTTGAGAGCCTGAAGGAATTCACTGAAAGATATTCGTTCATCAGTGAGTTCCGTGGTTAATTACCGATTTAATTAGCTAATTGACGACTTCGCGACTGTATGGAACGGGACCTTTTGCGCTGTCCTCGTGCTCTCAGTTCCCGTCCCCTCTGATGGCAGCCCCTGCAGGGAAGTCCTTACGGTGCCCTGGGGGGGGAGCCGCTGGGGTATGGACTTCTCGGCCTGTGTCCGCAGCTGGCACCACGCTGGCCTTGCCGCCCTGATCCGGGTCAGAGTTGGGACCTGCTCCTGGCGCCTTAGACACGGCTGGTGCCCCAGGGGGAGACAGCCCCGGGCGAGGGACTGGCGGCCTCGCCGCAGGTGCGGCTCCCTCAACAGTTTCAGGCCAGGGCATGTTGGTTCAGGGTAGGCCCCGGGGAGAGCTGCTTCCTTCCAGGCTTGAGCAAGAGTTGCAGAAGGCCTTGCTCCGAGCCCTGCCTTCCCGGGGATTGGGGACACTGCCAGCCCAGCCCCCACCGGGAGCCCCCTTAGTAGCCACACCCAGAGAATGAGAGGGTGGGTCTACATCTGGGGTCCAGAACTCCGTGCGGGTGGGGGCTGCGGGCGCGAGGAGGCAGCGGCGGGCGGGGCGGAAGTCAGAAGTGGGCGGCGGGGGAGCGCGCGCCCACCTGCTTTCAGTCCAGGGAGCGCCTACTCTCTGCGATCGCTCCGGCGCTCACTCGGGCCTCCTGGTGAGAACGGAGAACTAGACTTGTTGACATCGGCTCTCTCTGCCCATTCCCTTATCCGCGATGTGGAGCGCCGTGTGCGAGGCGCTTCTCTCAGGGCCCCATACCCAGGACGCTCCTGGTGGGTTGGCTCTGTTCACCGTGGGTCAGTTCCCCTGCCAGGCCGCGCTCTAGCTGCGAGGACAGGGCGTGGGGTGCCAGCTGCCGCCCGCAGCATTCTAGCCGGGGGCCTGTGTGGAACGGGCGATAAGGCCGAGGGGTGGGCTGGGGCAGCCGGCGCTTTTTGACTTTACGCAGGGCGGCAGGGAGGCCTTGCTGATAAGGTGGCCCAGCCATCCTGGAGGAAGCAGCCAGGCAGATATCTGGGGTAACAGGATAACAAGCCCAGGGCGCACAGGCTGCGGTGGACTGTGTGTGTGGTGGTGGTGGAGAGAGGAGGCGACAGAGGCCCTGAAGTTTAAGTTTTACTCTTAAACTCTGACTAAGAGTGAACATGCCGGTCACGGCAGGGGAAGTGGGAAGGGAAGAGGGACAAGCGCGCAGGAGCGGGAAGGAGGCGGCGAGGGGTGACAGGAGACGCTGGCGGAGAGTGGGAGGGAAGGGGGGAGCGGGCAGCAAGTGGCAGAAGGGATCGGAGGGAGCGTGGCACCCGGTCCAGCTGATACCCCGGCACGCGGACCCCGGCCTCCACCGCTCCCCCCACCACCCGCGCAAACGGAAGAGAGGGCCTGAGGGTACCACCCCTCGGACGATCCGAGCCCCGCCCCTGACTCCGCCCTGGCAGTTAGGTCCCGCCCCCGCCCCTCCTGCCCGAATCCTGGTGCCCGGTGTTCAGGGGCGGTCCAGCGGCCCCTCGATGGCGCATAAAACCTCTGGCCACCTGCCGGGCTGTTCCTCCGTGTGCCCTGTGCCGCCGTCCGAGGCCCTCCGCGCTGCTGCGGCCCGCGTTCCCGGAGTCGCCGCGGCCTCTATCGCCTCTGTCTCCAGCCCGTCCTGTTCAGGCGCGGAGCCCCCGAGCGCGCCGCGTGGGCACCCGGTTCACAGACATGGGCAAGTGTATCAGAGCGCGCTGGGTGGTCGTGGCGCTGGGCTGCGCGGGGCTGCTGTGCGCCGTGCTGGGCGCCGTCATGATTGTGGCGGTGCCTTCAATCATCAAGCAGCAGGTCCACAAGGTGGGTGCGGGGTCCCTGCCGGGGGATGGAGGGCCTGGGCGCCGTGGGGCGTGCGGGAGGGGCCGCTGCCCACCTCCCTAGTCCCTTCCGGACCTGGGTGAGGTTGCGAGCCCAGGGCGGCGACCTAGGGGCTTCGCGGAGGTTCGCGTTGCGGACGCCTGAATGACACTACCCGGGACCCTGACCTCGCCCGCAGGGTCCTGACTCCCAGCCTGTCCTGGAGGGCGGCCACCTCTCGGCCGGCCCTGCCCCGGGACTCCGGGAGTACGCTCACCCGCTTGTGGCGGGGTCTGCTAGAACTAGGGCCGCACTTACCTGTTTCCTGTGAGCCCACGAGGGCAGAACCCGACATGCATGTGCTCCCCAGAACTCCCATGGGTGCCCAAGCCCAGTAGGTGCTTGGCCGGGCCTCTCTGATTGCCCCGCACCGCCTCCCTGACTCCGGCCGGAAAGGGTAAGCCGCTTTTCTCCCCAGATTCCTGCAGAGGCCGGCACAAGTCCAAGGTTCAGTAAGTAGGGTCCTTGGAGAGCCCCCAGCCTGCAGGCTCTCCTCTGACCTTAACCTCACTTACACAATACCATCCTTTTAGCCAGAGGGATAAGTTAGGGTGGCCACGGCCTTCAGACTGTTCGATTCTACCCCGGGGGTCTGGGCAACCTGTTTGAATGCATCTGGAGTTACTGCAGGAGGGGTGATCGAGAAGAAGTGGGGGCAATCGCAGCCCGCACTTGCGCCAAAGGTCTCTGAAGGCAGGGCTAGCACCTGCATTTCGGGAGAGGGGGCACCGAGGCCCACCTTTGCCCAGGACCCAGCCAGACACGGAGCCATGACAGAGGTGGGTGCTGTCACTTGCTGGCTAATCCCCCCCCACCCCCCCACCTTAGCCTGCTTCTTTAGGTGAGTTTCTGAAGAGTGGAGACTGTCTGTGCTCCGTGCACAGCACAGGAACCTTGGGAACAGAATGAATGAGTGAGTGAATGAAGTCTCCATCTGCTTAGACTGGTCTGACCCTTCTTGGGACACAGCCGACTTTAAAGATGGGACGAGAGCTGGCATTTCTCAAGGTCTCTGGGGGGCAGAGTTGTCCGTGCGAATTGTCTTGGCAACAGTGTCTTGACTTATTTACTAATTTGGCTTTTGAATCTTGCCCTGTACTCTGACTACATGAAGAGCTCTCTGATGAGCACCGACTTCCTCCTCGGGACGGTTTTTTTGTTTGTTATTTTCTTTTTGTCCTCCTGGGAATGGCAGGAAAACTAGTGTGGTGAGACCTCAGAACTCAGAATTGCTTCTCTCTCTGCCATGGAGGCTAAGGAGACCTCTGACTGTCTGTCTGTCTGTCACACTTTCCAAAGCAGCCGTCAGCGCTTCACCGTGGCAAAAGCCACCCCTGAGTCCCCACCGGGCCCTTGGTTTCGGCCCCGTGGGCATACAGGTGGCGGCAGCGGCGTGGCCGGGGAGCCTCTGGCAGCCCCTGAAGGCTCTTGTCAGCTCGGTCACTCCTGGCCTTGTTTCAGGGTTTGTTTTTATGGCCCTTGTTCCGGGCCCCTGTTTCTATGGCTATGGGGCAGATTCCGGATGTCAGCTCCCCGTGTGTGTGTGTCTGCACATGTGTACATGGGTGTACGCACACACCGCCTAATTTCCCACCCCCGCTCTGGGCTTCTCGAGAGGACAGTGCCGTCGTCCTCAGCTGTCCCTGAGTTAGGAGTCCTGGGCTTACAGCTGAGTGAGAGCCACCCAGCATCCTGTGTGACCGTCTCGAAGACGATTGGTTTGGGGCCGAGTGGCGTGAAGGCAGGAGGGCAGGCCCGGCCCGCGGACAGCCCCCCTGCGTGCCAGCCAAGTGCCTTCCGGAGGGGGAAGGACGCCAGTGTTCGGGGGACCGCGCGGGTGGGACGCCAGCAGAGGGAGGGGCTGCCCACTGGTGTTTTCTTTGGCTCCACGTGTCTCTCTGCAGCTTGAATGGGAGGCCTGTGCTAGGATTTCTATGTTTTTATGTTTTTTGGCTACTTTGAAAGAAAATCCAGATGGAGGGAAAAAAAAAAGAAAGTTTTCCTCATTTTGTTCCTCAGACAGCGCCAGCGCCGGTGGCGTGTCTCTTTCTAGAGCTTTGCCACAGCTACGTCACGAGCACTTATTTACACACATTAAGATACATGCTTGTTACATGAGTTAAACTATACTTTGTACAGATGTCCTGCAGTTGGAGTGTTAATTCACTGGTAGAGCCGGAAGCGTTTTTTCCTCTGTCTGAACATGCGCATCCATCCCGGTTTCTTTTCTCTGCCTCTTTGTCTTCATTTGAAAGGCCAAACACTCGGCTATTTTCCTGTTTCTCTACTAGCTGATCATTTTCCTCGTCACCGCCATCTTTCTGGTCCCTCTGGTGGGTTTGACGTGTGTTTCGGAGGTTGCTGCCGGGCTGAGTCAGGCCGTCCCACTTTGCTGCCTGGGCAAAGTCTCCAGAACCCGGGGCTGCACACCTAGCTGGGCCGCGTCCCACTGGGGGACCTCGGCTGCTCGCTTGTCAGACTGGGTCAGATCTAGTTTGCCTCTGGGCCAGACAATTAAGTGCAGAGTTAACCACGCACGTGTTGAAATGTCCAGGACATGCCTGGTTTCTCGTCTGAGTCCGACCGCAGCCTTGTGAAATATGTGGGGGTGGCGGTGTTCGCCGGCCCTGCAGGTGAGGACACTGAGGCAGAGCAAAGGCCAGTGACTTGCCAGGGTTGACAGAGCTGTGGCCATGTTGGACAGAGACCCTAGTCACCAAATCTGGACCAGAGGGAATGAAGTGGGCGCCCTTTGTCGCGTGATTTCTCAGCAGAAAGGCAGAAAGTGGGAAACCAGGTACACAGGTTTTAGCACGAGTAGGTCTCAAAAACAGCGCTGAGAAAAGCTCGGTGCTATTTATGTTTACTTTTTGTAAATAACTCCACAAAACAGCATTTTGTATTTTCAGTGGGTTAATATTAGTGCGTGTTACAGCTCAGAAAAAGCTGCGGAAGGGTGCACACCAGACTGGCGAAAGCAGCAATTCTCAAGAGAGGAAGGGAAGAGTTCGGGGCCCACAGGGACTTACGCGGCATCTGTAACACTCCTACTTTATCCTTTTGAAAAAAGACAGTGCTTTTGTGTGTGATGCGTTTAATTAAAAATTAGTAGTGATTCTATAGCTTCCCCCCCGCCAAACGGCCAAATGGATTAGCCCCAAACAACAAGACCTCGTGTCCTGAGGTCTCCAGGAGAAGCTTCTGGAAGAAGTGAGACTCGTTTTTATTGCCCCCCAGTGCCCCGGACTGGGTGAGAGCTATTCATACTGTCGACTCAAGGAACGTAACCCCGCATCTCAGCGTGCCAGGCAGTGTTCAGGGACTCTCCGTGAATACCGTCTCCTTTAGTCCTGGGAGGATTCTAGGGCAAATGTCTTGTCACCGTTGACATTTGGGAAACAGCTAAAGATAGCCATTTGCCTCAGGTCGCCTTGCTGGCATGTGCACCTGTGTGCGAGCACCTGTGTGAGGGAGAGAAAATATCCCGGAGGCAGACCAGGGAGGAGAGGTCCCGGCCCCTTTGTGTCCACATCCTAGAACTGAGTGTACCACCCCCAACACCCCAGATTTGAATGGATGATGAAAGCCCAGTCTGGGGCCCCTGGGTGTACATGTTTGGGTCAATGTGTGACTCTGGGCCCCAGGGGAGGGGGCTGTCCTCCTGGCCCCTGTTCGCAGTGAGGAGCCTCAGGGCCTTGTCCTCTGTCTGGAGGGAAGGTGAGTCCCCTCTGCTGTCTTTAACCTGCCGCTCTGGTTGGGAACCGGCCTTGGGCACTTTGTCCACTGCTTTTTCCGGCTGTAGAGGGTTTGCCCCACCTGTGTTCCCCGTCTCAGAGCGACCCCTCCATTTCTTCCTCCAAGTGCAGGGGCGAAGGCCTGGGGTCAACCGCACTGAACACCTTGCTCTGAGCCCCTTGGGTCTGGTCCATCAGCAGCAAATCCTGTTGACCTCACCTTCAGGACGAACGCAGACTCTGCCCCTCCTCCCCGGCTCCAGCTCTCCCGCCTCCCCGGCTGCTGCCTTTGAGGGGCAGCGGTCTTATCCCGAGGTCTCCACACACACCTAACACCCCCCCACTCCCGCTCACAGGCTCCCCATCTCCCTCTGAGTGAATACAAAAGTCCTTTCAGTGGCCCAAAGGCACCCACAATCTGGCACCCTGTCAGCCTGCCTGCTTACTCTCCATGCTTGTCTCCAGGATGGTCCTTGAGCCCGCTAAGCCTGCTCCATCTCAGAGTCTCTGGCTTGTTTGCCCCTCTGGCTGGGAGGCTCATCTCCCAAATGTCTGTGTAGTTTGCCCCTTATTTCCCTAAAAGTCAGCCCTAGCATGTTATGTGTTGATTTATGGGTTCTCTTTCTCCCCCGTGAGCCGGGAGCCTGCTGGCACAGGGGCTGTGCTGTCGCCATCATTGTGGGGTCCCTGAGGGCCAGGCGGGGGCTCCCGGGAGCACGGCGGAGCGGGCAGACAGTCAGCCCTTTGAGCCCGGGCTGTTTTCTTACCTTCTCCCCACTCAGCCTCCACTCTGCCGCCTCCGCCCCAGCCACGCCCGCCTGGTTGCTTTGTGCCCTTTGGCAGCTCCCTGCCCATCAGTTACAGGGCGAGGGCTGATGGCAGATAACACTGATGGGTGCTGATCAGGTCAAGTGTCGGGTGTTCTACCTGTGCCCTCTCATGTCTCTCCAGCATACGGGTGCTACTCCGCTGTTGCCTGCGTTTTACTGGGGGACAGGGAAGCAACAGTCGCTTGTCCCAGGCCACACAGCTGAAGTGGCCGAGCCTGGGCTTCGATCCCAGGAGTCTGGGTCGACCCTGCCCTCTCTCCTCTGTGTTTCTGAGCAGCTCGGCTTGACATTTGGAGGCAGGGCGCCCCCCTCCACCCCGTGTTCTCTGCCTGGGTCCACCTCCCCTCTTCCTCCCCCTACATGGGGTATCGCCAGTGGG